GGCGCTGGCGGCCCGGCCTGGGCTCCTCCCCGCCCCTCGGGGCGCGGCGGGGCTCGGGACCCTTCCCCCATCCCCACCCGGTCTCCACCAGCAGGCGCTGGCGGCTGTGCGGTTCCAGGGCCAGGCGGGGAGGACTGCGTGTCAGAGGAGGGGACTGACCCCTGGAGAAGGCCTCGAGGAAGACGGGGGGACGGGGCTCCTGCCTGGGGGCAGCGTGTGGGCAGGAGGGAGCTACAGACCCAGCTTCCCCGGGTTCAGGCTCTGCTGTTGCGTGAGCGCAGGGGAGCAGGAAGCCCCCGAAACGGGGAGAGGAGAGGGTAGCACGCAGGGGGGCCGGTTTTGAACTCTCCTGAGCACGCAGGCCAGAAGGGCACAGCTGGCCAGCGCAGGAGGATGCCCTGGCGGGCGGGCTGTTCCCACGCCTGCCCTGTGAACCTGCTTCTCATGAATGGGGGAAAGCGCAGCCTGAGAATCTCATCAGGAGCGCGGTCCAGAACTGGACATGCCGGCCTCCACCCAGCCCAGTGTGCACGTTCCTTGTGGCCAGGCGGGCAGCCCAGACCTGGGAAAGACAGATGCGGGAATATGGCACACGTGGAATATAGAGCCGTTCCATCTGTGCCAGTCACGCTCAGAGCGCAGCCAAAAGCAAACAGAAACTTTTGTACATCTGCTACCCCGGGATATGCCATAGAAACAGCCCCGCCCAGAACGTCCCTTTCCCTGTCCCTTTTCAGGACCTTGCCCCGTGGATCATCCCTTCCCTCTCTGAATGTTCCAGTTCTCTCAACTGGATCTACAGTGTTGAACCTTTGTTACAGAAGTAAAACCCTCATCCAACCGCACCCATTTCTGGGTGTCTGTCTCTTCAGGCACAGAAAATGGGAAAGCTTCTCCCTCCCTGGTCTCAGACCTTGTAATTGGCCTTCAAGCTCCTTAACAAAACAAAACCAGATTCAGTAAATTCTCAATCTCCCAGTGTCTAAAGTCCAGTAACCATTCTTCAGTTTGCTTCTGCCAAAGTCTCAAGCAGCATTTGACACCCCCCGCAGTGACCTTCCCTCCTTGGAACACTCCAGTCTCTAGATCACCTTCATTCTCCTTAGATTTCTCTCACTGAGTTGCTGAGTCTCCTGGGCTGGGTTGACCTTGTCCTCCCCACTGTCCTCCCAAAGTGCTGGAGCTGCAGGTATGCACCACTATTCTCTGCTTCTTCCTCTGCTGGAACCTTGCCACTCCTGCCCAGACTTCTTCCTGGCATCCCTCTATGCCACCCTGCTCATTATAGTCAGCAGTGGTTGGAGATTCCTCAAAGCTTGGACCTATGGTCTCTGCTTTCCTTTTCTTTTTCTGTAATTTTTTCCTGTACACAGATGATTCACAAATTAGTCTTTGTCTTTGTCCTTCCTCCTGAGCTTCAGACTCACAAAACTTAAGGCCCAGCCTAGTCTCCAGTTGAGTGTCCACACATGCCTCGGTAGCACCAAGTTCCTGTTCTCCCCCTTCCCCCACTCTTGGCACACCAAACTTCCTGTTGCTGAGGAGATACTTCCCATCCTTTAACCATAGGGAGTCCACACAGCACCTCCCTCTCCCTTGTTCCCCTACCTAACCCATCCATATCCCAAGACTGTTCAGTTCTGCCATCCAAATCTCTCTACTCCACCATTTTTCTCTTCCTCTTTTTCACTTTAGTGACTGCAGCACTTTCTCAGGCAACTGCCTCCATGTCTGCTCCCTCCCATCTCTCCTCAATGACTCAGTCTCAGTAATCCTCACAAATGCAGATATGTACTCATCACTTGCAGCTGAAACAAGTATACTGCTCTAAAGAAACTCCCTAAAAGTGGTGTGTGAGTCCTCACAGGGCTCAGCCCTCCCTCATGTCTCTAGAGCACGTTGCCATTGTTCCAGGCCCTCTCACAGACATCCCTTCCACACGAAGTTTGGGCCTTTACACATGACATTCTATCTACAAAAATGTACCCTCCCTTATTAAAGCTGTCAGAATCCTTCAGATACCCTCAAACAAAAGGAGTCTCTTCATCAAGGAGTCTCCTCCCTTGGTCTTCTGACCAAGCCAGAACTGGGCCATCACAGCCTTTCAGGTCTCAAAGTGCTTTGTAACAGTTGCCACAAGTGATAGCTGAATAAGTGTTTTGTTTTGTTTTTCCTTCCCCCCCCCCACCATACCAGGGATCAAACTCAGGACCTTACGCATGCCAGTCAGGCCCTTATGCCACTTAGCTGCCAGCTTCCTGCCCTGATAGTTGAGTAAGTAAATACTGTCTTCCTTCACTGGCCTTGGAGCTCTAGGACTACATAAAGTATATGTGTCTTTGTCCCTCACCATACACTTTTCATCCACTACAGAAGTTGACTCAGAATATTTGCTGACCACGTGAAGGGAAGGATGCCTTCTGTAGGCCTTGTTCTGTGCAGTAGGTTTTGGTAACCGAAGGCATGAGTAAGGTCTCCATCAGGTTTCAGAGTCCTAGAAATTCAAGACCCCATTTTCAGGCAGATATCCTCCAAGAAACCTGAGCCCCTGAATGGAGGAAGGACTTACTGAGAGTGATGCTTTCTTGGTCTCCGCTGCCCTCTGCTTTGCAGAAGGTGACACCTTATTCATTCATGTGTCTTGTCCCTAAAATTGTCCCTCCCTGGACTGTGCCATCTCTAATTTGGCCTTACATGGTCCCACTCACTCCACAGAGACCACAGCAGAAGATCATCAGCTTCCATCCTGGTCCCCTGTAGTATTCACTTCTAAGAATGCCTTAACAACCTACCACAAACTGTGTCTTAGAACAACAGAAGTTAATTTCACAGTGCTAGAAGCTAAAGTGTGAAATCAAGATTATTATAGAACCATACTCCCTCCGAAGGCTTTCGGGGGAGAATCCTTCCTTTCCATCTAAGACACTTTCTTATTGCTGAAATGAAATCCGCAACACCCACAACCTGGAGAAGTTTGCTGTCATGTCCATCCATGGTCCACTGGTTCTAAGACCTCTAAATGACAGGGTGCAAGGGCATGGAAGGGAAAGTTGTCCCACCATGGCAGCCAGGAAGCAGAGACAGAAAGGAAAAGGAGGAGCTGGGGTGGGGGGAGATATGACCCAATGACCCATCTGCAATCCACCTGCCTCCTGAACAGTACATTCAGCCTCTGAACTCAACAGATGAATCCACTTATGAGTACAGCACTCCCATGATACAATCACCTTCCAAACACATAACTGGGGGGAATGTCTCAGATCTAAACTATGATATCCTGTCATTGCTGCCCTTGCCCCAAGACTCATGTCCATCTCATTATGCAAAATGCATTTAGTTCATCTCGGAATCACCAAAGTCTTAATAGTTTTGGCATTGCTGAAAGGTCCAAGTCCAATGTCTTCTTCGAGACTCAAGGCAAACTTACCTTTGAGCCCTTGTAAAAATAAAAAAAGAAAGTGAAATACTCACAACTTACAACTGAACAGTACACAGGGTAAACATTTCCTTTTCTAAAAGAAAAAAAAAATAGGGATATAGAAAGAAATCCGGAAAAAGCAAGATCAAAATCCACTAGGGCAAATCCTGGGAGCCCAACACTATGGAAGACTACTTGGATGACTCTCCTAGAAGGAGGAGCAGTTATCTCCATTTTGGCTGAACCTGACCCTATTTCCATGTACAGCATTGGCTGGGACTTTTGTTTATCCCTTCACTTGGCTTTAAGCAATGTATATCAGTTGGAGGAGCTGACGTGTAGTCTTTGAAGTAAAGAAAACAAGGCAGTGTTTCCCCAGGTCTCTCATAGCCCCCATTTGTGAGTTGGGGTAAGGCAGGATGGAGAGTGCGCCCCATTGTCAGCTAGAACTGAGCCTCAAGATAAGAGGCAATGACTTGCAAGAGCATAAAAGATTACACATCAGAGTTGGAGCACCAACCCCAAAACATTCGATACTATCTCATTTGTGTAATGCAGATCACTCTCTCTGCATACGGTTCTCTCTGCATATTGCAGAGGTGATTTCAGGCCTCCTACCTAAGCCAGCTCATGACACTCACCTACTTCCCATCATTTGAATAGTCACTCACCCTCAAGCCACTTCTTTCTTTACAAATGAATAAAACCTAGATTGGCCCTGGCTCAAGGCCTTTGTTCCAACTAGCCAGCATTGTAATTGGACTTAGGACCCTTTGGCTCCCTGTAACTACAGTATGGCTTAGTGTCTTTATTGGTTTGTGTGGAAGTGGTAGATTGGAATTAACTTGACAGGATTCCAATAACTTTTCCATAGTATTACAAATATAAACTTCCTGGACAACCATGAGGCTCAGGGAAGGCTCTCTATACAAAACCTGGGTAAAGTTTTAGTTAGACATGAGTGCCAAAGGGCTTAGGCAGTAATATCCCTAAGGCTTTGCCAGTTGCAGCCTACATGGCCTCG